TTATCTGGGATAAATGCCCAGGACTGAAACTATAAGTATATGTCCTCCACTGATACCACCCTGTATGTACTCCTTACTGCTGGCCATGTGATCTTCAGTGACACCTTGGTGGTAGGGGTGGAGTACTCATTACCATTGGAAGGTGATGAAAGTGCTGGCTTCCCACTTGGAGTTCTCTGATACCACCCAGGCATTGGGGATAGGGGCACTCTTCCTTATAGCTAGGTGCAAGTAGATGTCCCACCACTTGGCCTTTGCTGGTAAGACTGGAGTGGGACTGCAGTCTTATTTTGCAGTGATATTTGGTTGGAGTAGGATAGTTTTCCTGATCACACCCCTTTCTTGGTCCTTTGGCTAAATAGAGCTAGCCTTTCTTGGATGTTTTTGTTTTGTTTTTGTCTGTGCCACTGGGGCTTCTCCAGCACTCAGTCCAGGATAAGGCAAAAAGCAAACCTAGATAACTTATTGCTGTGTCTTTCCTCAGATTTCAAGGTCCCTAACTATTCTGTCCTTTTTCCACTTTTCAGAGTTTTCTTGTATTTGCTTTATATACAACGCCCATGGTTTTTAGTGGTACTTAGCAAGAAGAATAGGAAGAAGTATATCTATTCCATCTTCATCTAGAACTGGCAGCCTGACAAAACCCTTTTAAATAACTGTTTCTCCTCTAAAAACACAAGTCTGATCATGTCTCTGCCCTTCTTTAAAAGGTCTTATAGCACCCAGCTGCCCAAAGGATAAAATTCCAGCCCTTAATACTGACATTAAAGGTTTTCATTATCTCACCACAAGTAATAACAGTCATGCCTTATGCAGATCCCCACTATGCACATGTACTTGCCAGCTACAAAGGATTTCTCATGCGCCATTTCTTCAATGCACCATGCTTTTTCATGGCTCCTTGTTTTGCGCATGCTAGTACTCATGCAATCAGCTGGCTATACCTTTCTCCTCTTCACTTGGCATTCTTCAAATTCTTCACTAGCTATTCTCCAAACCTGGTTCTTATATTACCTATGGTGAAGCCTTCTGAGACTCTCCCAGAGTTACCTAATCCCTTCTCAGTGCCACCATAGCATACCTCTGAAATCTACTTCTTGTTTGAGTTGATCTCTTCTGCCAAAACCTTTTGGGGTGAGATTGTCTCTACACATCACTGTCCTATTCAGTTGTAACTTCTTTGAGGCCAGGGACTGTGCCTGTCTTCTTCATCTAGGTATCCTTAGCACATAACATTGTGTCTGGCACAGAGTTGGCACTCAACAAATGTTTATTAAATGAGTAAATGAATGAATGGTTACTTTCAGATACTAGAGCAACCGAAATTTGTCCCCAGCTGTGTGACTAGGCTACCTGAGGCTAACTCACTTTTGTTATTACCATATATTCCTTTTAATATTTCCTCTAAGTGAAAAGACTTGGGCAATTACAATAATTTAACCACTTCCCCATCCTGCGTTTGGTTTGTCTTCCTGTATACTTGCTGCCACCACTGGTATCCTAAGGAAATTGACCATTTGAGAGCAGAGAGGCCCTGCTGTTTGGCTGATGTGGTCTCCAAAGCCCATTCTTCAGGCTATTATTAACCATCTGTCTAGTCTTCAACAGACTGAAGCCCTACTTTTGGCCAGTTATGTCAGGGCTGGAACTTTCTTTGCTAAGTATGCCCGAACTTTGGCTTCTATTGAGAAATAAAACCTTTTTGGGTACATTGCCACTTTGGTTATTTATCTTTTGCCTATCTTGTCTGGGAGAAATTTAATAATTACTCTTCTTAGTAAGATTTCAGAGTGTAACATATTTAAGGCAATAATAACTTCTTTCATTTTTATGACACTTTACTCAAACCATACATAGATCCTTGTCAACCCCAAATTATTCAACATGTGTTATTACATTGCTTACAATAACTCAGTTAAATTGTATACACACACACATGGTATTAAGGATTTTGCAGGTCAAATGTTCTATTATACCCATTGATCCTTTTTTAAGGACTCATCCTTTTTAAGGACTCTGATCCTTTGGCCCCTATATTTTGTTTTCATTCATTTTGGCCATTAGTTTATCTCAGCTGTAGTCAATATCTGATTCCAATACTGCATATAAGCTCCTGGACACGTAATAATTGCTCCATTTACCACATCTACTTAATGCAGCCAGGCACCATTACACTTTATATACATAAATTTTTGCAACCACCCTGCAAGGTAGGTGTTATTATCTATATTATACAGGTGAGGGAACTGAGGTTCACAGTAGTACTAAGTATCTGAGCCAGGACTGACTGATTCTAAGCCCATGTTCTTTCCACTACACCACTCTGCCTCTCAATAAAAAAGTCTAATATGAAACTGAATGTTTAAGAGATTGAATAATTGTAATCTTTCCTAATATCCCAATTCTTACCCTCTCAATCAAGACTCTAGATCTTGATTCTAATATGAAAAAGTTATGCTAATCTCTATTAGTAAGACAGAAGTGGGAGGTGGGAAATGTGTTCAAAGAATTATGCTTGTGTGTGATAAAATGTGGAGGTTATGTCACCTAGTGGCTTATTTTCATGGCATTTGTCCTTATTGACTTTCTTAAGTATTCAGGTCCTTTTGTTCCTTTGATAAAACTAAGGAGGACACTTGCTGCCATGCCTAAAAGGGCCTAAACAACTAACTGGCTACTCAAAAAGCCTGACCACACACAGTTGAACTTGCTAGTAATAGGGACTGGTAATTGTGGGTAAAATGGTTTCTTCCTCACAGGTGTCTGATACTAAACCATAGTGAGCATTTTTGACAAATCATAGGGCTATCTACACAAGAATGGAGGATCTTTTCCTTTAGCATTTGGTTTAGTAACTCCTCCCTTCCCTTGTTTCCTTCAGAAACTGTCCACATCCTGCAGGGTTTGAGGGGGTGGCATGTGGACGGTGTCAGGTAGCAGCAAGCAAGAAGGTGAGTCAAGAGTGGGGAGGTTGTGTGTTGTGTAGGTGAATGAAAGGCGTTCCTAAGCCATAATATCCCTCTTTGTCACAACCCACCCCCCCACCTCCCCACCCCCTACTTCACCCCCACCCCCCCCACACACACAGAAAGCAAAGAGATTATCCAGCTCACCTACAGGAGTAAGTGAGAAAGAGTTCCAACATTGGTAGGAGTGCCCCACTGCCATCAGGGATACATGGCTGGAATTCACAGGAAGTAATTCTTTCAGGACTGGCCCAGCCCCCGGCTACTTGTTGGCACACTAAATAACAGCCATACTACCATGAAGGCACATTCTTAATGTCTCTCTGAGAGTCCCAGCCCCAGGCAAGCATGGTACCCTGGGAGGGATGAACAGCTTCTCTAGAGTGACATGACAAATGAGCAGGAGTGACTATCATTCTTGGCTTCTCTCTGTCTGAAATGGAAAGACAGATGTTCCACCCTACTGCAGACTGGAGAGCACCTCTGAAACTCTGGAGACAGTCTCCCATCCCTGGGGTGATGTCCACCTACTCCTCCCAGATAGCATCAAATAGCTTCAGCTACTTCCTTGTCTTATTTAAATCCCAATTTGATCCTTTCCTGTAGTCCCTTAGAAATAAGTGGCTGTCTTTCTGGGGATGACAACTCATTCCTCTAGTTTATTTTCTACCCCTCAAAAAGAGGGTACCTTAATCTGGGGTGCCTGGGATGATTGACCCCAGAACTGGTTCATCAAGTGTTCTGAGACAGCAGGTCCAGGTAAATCAGGGCATCAAGTCACCCTACCCAGATGGGTAATAGCCACCTAATTGACATGTAAAAAATAAATGAATGTACACCTGGGCCCAGTGTAGCCTAAGGATTTGATTTAGCTAGCTGTCCGCTTCTTTGGCGTTTCCCCTCACCCCACCTCGTGGAACACGGTATTTGTGCCTTTCTTCTATTACCTTCTTCTTTCCTCTCTATTCCTTTGCTTCCTGTCCTTAGCTTGTTGCCCTCTTCGTGTCAGCCACTAGATCTGTGCTCCTGACTGCCAGCATTAACAGAGGCTTTGCAACTCTGCTCACCCTCTTTGTCGATTTCAGGACTGGTACCAGCCAAGCCCATTATTCTGGGTCCTAACCTGTCTGGTGGAGTTGTTCCTCCGCTTCCCAGACCTTGCACTTGGGGTCTGGGCACTCCCGGGAACTAGGGGCGGGGTGGGGTTAAGCCTGAAGCAGTGCCCAAACACATTCCTCTTTTTATGTTCTATTAGCAATTTTATTCTCCGGTAGAATACTTCCCTTGCCAGTCCCTGTAGTTGACTTGAGTTGCGTTCACGGATTTCACTATTATCTTCTACTGGTAGGTGGAAACCTGCGGGCTGGAGGCCGTGACTTTGAAGCGCACAAAAGTCCCTGCCTCGCAGCCCCAGTGGCCCTGCACCGCCGCCCGGCTGCTCGCCGGCAGGAGGGAGCGCAGGCGGCTGCGGCACCGCCAGCGCGAGAGCAGGGGGGCGTCAGTGTCTGCGAAGGGCAGCCCGAGGATCCTGGCCGGCCCGATGCTGGTCTGGAATCCGAGCCCGGCAGGAAGCCCCAGCCTGAGCCAAGTGCGTCGCTCCCTGAAAAACCTCCTGCGCGCCCTCCTCCACACTCGGATCGGTGTCAGGTCGCTTCTAGCCCCTAGCGCGCCCCAGTGTCGCGTCCGTGTCAGGGCCCTCCGTCCCTCAGGACAGGAAGCGCTGCGGGACAGCTGCGGGGGGCGGGACGTCACACGGAGCGGATCGCGCTTTCGGTTCCCCGTCGGGGTCCAGGCAGCACAGGGCCGAGAGAGGAGTCCGCGGAAACTCCCAGAACGTCGGTCGCCGGCCGGAGAGCAAGGCACCCAAACACCCAGGTGCTCGCGACCGGACTGGGGGATGGCCCGCCGGTCTGCGCTGGGCCGGACCCCAAGGGCGGTCAGGTGCAAGGGGGCGGGGGCTCCCGTCCTCCGGCTGCGGGGCCAGGGCGGGCCGGCTGGCGGGGCATTTAAACCCCGCTGACAGCCCGTCCGGAACACGCGCCCGGCTCTGCACCCTCCTCTGTCGACGCGGCTTCGGATACCGGTCGGGCAAGATGCGGTCTTCGCTGGCTCCGGGTGTCTGGTTCTTCCGAACCTTCTCCAGGGACAGCTGGTGAGCGGGGCGGGACAGGAGGCGCGCGGCCGGGCAGATCCCCGCGGGCGGGGACCTCCCGGGGCTCGAGGCTCGCCAGGGGGCCCCCCCGGCGGCCCCCCCCCCCCCCCCCCC